TAGTGTCAATGATGTTGGTGGTATGACAATAATGATGATGATAGTGATGATGGCGTTGATGTTGCTGCTGTTGTTGCTGCTGATTTTTGTGCTTCACATATGGTTTTCTTAGCATTTTTTTCCCCATAACACATGTCTTCCACTTTAGAAGCCCACACTGGATAGTATAGTCCCTTGTAGTTTGTACCTGGACTTCTGCTGTGGGGGCAGAGGTCACTCCATCAGCACAGCAGCCTGCAACTCTACTGAGTTTGTGTTCTAGATATGTATTCTAAGTAGCTAAGAGACATTAGATCCAGATTGAATATTGAAAATCTCAGTTTTGGGGACAGGTAGGTAGCGCAGTGGATAGAGGACTGGACTTGGATTCAGGAGGACTTGAGTTCAAATATGGCCTCAGACACATAACACTTACTGGCTGTGTGACCCTGGGCAAGTCACTTAACCCCATTGCCTAACCAAAAAAAAAAAAAAAAAAAGAAAATCTCAGTTTTTATCTTCCCAAATAAATGTTAGCTAGTGAATTAGTAATCTTACCTCTACTTTTCGCTCTAGGCCGGACACTTTTGCTTTGTGTAGCTGTGGGATCCCATGCTTGTAGTTGTTAGAAATTCAGAATATAAATAATTTGCCTGTGGATATAAGCATACCTGTTTACAACAAATTTTAAAAGATTATAACAGATCACATCAAAACAATGACGTCAAAAGACTTTAATTCTTTTTAAAAATAGATTTTTATTGCTGTTTTTGTTTTCACGTTGTCTAGATTTCTTCTGTATCCCCCCACTTTCCCAAACCAGAAGGCCATACCTTATTAAAAAAACAATTCTTTGAGAAGATAAAAAGACGAAAAAAGATAGAAAAACTTAGCAAAGCCAATCAGTACATCAGAGAAAGCTGATATTAATATGCAGTGTTCTAAAAGACTTCTGCAAAGGGGAAAGAGAGATGGAGAGGGAGAGGGAAAGGAAAATTTTCTCTTAATTCTTCCTCCTCCCTAGTGTATTAAAAAAGGTTTTTATTTCATCTTCTAAAGAGGATAACATCATATCCTACTTGCATATGAACTTTAAAAAAGATTGTTATTCATATCTATAGTTTTTACAACTCGTGGATTTCTCTTTGTACCCCATTCCTTTCCCTTCTCAGAGAGCCATACTTCGTAACAAGGAATTCTTTTTAAGATAAAAATGGTAGAAGAGGAAAAAAAATTCAGCTAAACCAATTAATACTTAAAAAAAACCTGACATTATATGCAGCGTTCCACACCCGTGGATTCTGAACCTCTGCATAGGATTAGGGGGAGGCTCAGTTCCATGATGGTTCTTTCATTCGCGTTGTTGTGGTTTACACACTCACGCCCACTCTCACCCCTACGCTTTCTGGCCCCAGTCAGTGCCCAGCAGCCTTCCCAGGCTTCTCTGTGTTGTTCATCGCATCTGTTTGTTTGTCGTTTCTTCAGAACAGTCGTCTTCCAGTTCACTCATGGACTGTGACGTCGTGAGTCGCTCCCTAGTTGGAGGACATCTACTTTGTTTCCAGTTCTTTGCTCCACGTGAAGTGCTGCTGTTAATATTTTGGTTTATATGGAAACTTCCTTTTTGTCAGTGACCTCTTTGAGGCATCTCCCCAGCACTGGAATCTACTATGTCAAAGGGTCTGGATTGAACGGCTTTTTAGCCGAAGTCAGTCCTTGGGTAAAGAAGAAGTCCTCACAAGAAATAGTTGGCTTTCCTGTGTGATGGGGGGTCATGCTTAATTCAGCTGTTATTGTGAGTTCTTGTTATGTGCGAGGCATTGTGTTTGGACATCGGAAGAGCCTTTTCCTTTGTCTTCAGGAGTCATAAAAAACGAGTCAGTGTTTGGGGCAACAGACAGTCTGTGTCACTGCAGCCGTGCTCCAAACCCTTCTGACGTGCTGGTCTCTGCCTAAGCTTGTGCTCCATGGGCCAAGCCTTCAGAACCAAGAACAGCAGGGCCCATGTGTCCTTAAGAAGCTTAGTGAGGTCGGAAAGCCGTGGGCACAAATGGCGTGTGAAGAACAGTAGAGATGTAGTACCCTCAGTGTTCAGAGTGGAAAGAGCTTTCAGGTGATCCAGGGTGGGCTTCCTGGGATTGAGAGTGCATGTGGCCTGGATCTGAAGCAGCTGGGCCTTGAAGAATGGGGCCAGAGATCCCTGGTCCCTGCCCTCTTTGTATTCTTTTGTGAATACGGGAATGTGCTACCTAAAGTCATCTCCCCTTGTCCACAGCTATCTTTCCTTCAGTCATTAAAAATCGTAATGCTATTTCACATATCATTTGACCCATCTTGTTATTATTCATATGTTAGTCTTTTTACAAGTTTCAGAAATGAGGTGACTCAACTAATCTAAGAACATTCTCAACAGAAATAATGGTCTTCCCTTTCTGAAAAGATTTTAGAAAACTCAGTTCCAGGTAACAGTGGGAGAGCTTTAATTTTTTTTGTTTGTTTGTTTTAGGCAATTGAGGATAAGTGACTTGCCCAGGGTCACACAGCTAGTAAGTATCAAGTGTTTGGTCTAAGGCTAGATTTGAACTCAGGTACTCCTGACTTCAGGGCCAGTGCTTTATCCACTGCGCCACCTAGCTGCCCCAGAGAGCTTTAATTTGATGTTCATAGACCATCTCATGATAATCATATAGATCTGAACCAAGTCAAGTCAGTAAATATTTGTGAAGCACCTACGATGTGCCAGGCCCTATGCGAATTACTACAAATACAAAGAAAGACCAAAGACAGTCCTGGTTCTCAAGATATAGATGGCATAAATTAGAGTCAGTCTCAGAGAAAAGGTACTGAGATTGAGGAGGACGAGGAAAGGCTTCCTGAAGAAGGTGAACCTTCTGCTGACATGGGAGGGGATCCGACCTGCTCACGATGTCCCAGTCCCAGGAAATTCCACCAGACAGAGTTTTGTGTAACTCTCTAGCCCACGTGTTCTGTGTGTTTGGCATCGACCATAGTTCTGTTACTGTTGTTTGTTTTTGCTTCCTAAGATTAGTATCACATCTGACTTGCCTTCTTGTCTAGTCGTATGCTTTAACTTCTGTACCCTCATCAATGCAGGGGAGCAACAAGAATATTGGAAGACCTTTCTGCTGCTTCTCTGCCCCTCGGCAGCGGGGGGATCCTTTGTCACGTGTTCTCGCTTGGCCTCTCCGGGGCGGGTTCGGGTTATGATTCCCGGCCCCATGGCAAGCTAGCCTGTTTTAGTTTTGTCATAGTCTTCTCTAAGCCTCACCAACTAGTGACTAAGCAATTGCCTTCAAAGGCCTTTCTTCAATTCAGAAAGTTCGTTAAGAGAGACAGAAGAATTGGCATAGCTGGGCTAAAAGACTGATAGGATAGTGAAGATAACAGCATGCCACATCAGAAATGTGCACATTGAAAAGGTTAGGACTAGCATTAATATTTTAAATATCAGAGGTTTGGGGTAGAAAGGTACAAGGACACTACCATATCCATTCATTCTCCTGCCTAGTCATTAATTGGTTCTGGAAAAACATGATGTTAAGGGACATGACTTAATGATGGTCATTGGTTCCATGGAAA